ATATACTGACTACTGGTAGACGTTCTATGAACACAACATTGTCTGGATCAACTGTATGTTCCTAATTAGGTACAGGCATTGTAATGATAACAACTTGTCTATACAGATATTGACAATTTGTGACTGATTTTAAGTTGTTTTTGTACTGAACATTGAAGGAGTAAAACCAAAGGCGTAACCTTGCTCCTTCCTGTTTCACTCGTATTGTAAAAATACATGTAAAATGATTGTTTGAATTCAAACTCAGATTAAAGTCCTAATGAAGATTACATTTGATCGGTGCATTTTTATGGCAGGATTCTGTGTTATAAATCTGATCAGTAGGAAGTATGAAAGTAATTCTGTGTTATATTAATGCTTTCTTCACTAAGTCTTAAGTAATGAAGAAATCATACAAACAGTATTCCTTAAAATCTGCATAATGTATTTACAAACTGAACTTGTTTGAAGCTTAGACAGAAAAAAAAAGAATCTAGACATATATCAAAACGCGTAAATGTACCATAAATTCTCGTATGTACCAAAATATTGCATTAAAAGTACATCCAGACATGATAAATTCATCAAATGTAAAATAAGTCTAACTTTATGAATATCAATTCTGTCGCCATACTCTGGAAATACCCGATCTCGCTATGTTTGGCACTTAAATGGCCACCATCCCCTCTCTTGCAGGTTGTTGGTTGGTATTTTCTAAATGGAACAGAACCGTCTGATACCTATAGTTGTCTCTTATCAACCAGAAGAGACAAAAAATAACACGCATAAAAAAAAACATTAACAAAAAATAAACAATATAAAAACTGAATTTTCAAAAAAGGTAAAAATAAATAAATTGAGAATTTTGCATTTGGTGTAAATCTAAAAGGTTCTCCTTATTCGTTTTGAAGGAACTTTTTCTAATTATTATTAGTGTGAGGTCCCTAAACGATTAAAAAAAAATCAAAAACGAAAATATTTTACCGTTTTTAAGAAACTGCTTCAACGGCGACTAATATACATATGATTTATGAAATCTAAAATTTGCCATTTACCATGCTGACTTATGAAATTAAAACAGTTCTAGAATACATAAAATTTGTATGTAAAAGATGCACTACATTCGCTCCTCCATGGCAGGTCTATAATTTGCCATAAAAGGAACCAGTCAAAAACCAAGGAAGTGGTAAGAAATAGGGTCAAACTCGGTTTGTGAAAAATATCTATAGGCGAGAAAAAGAACCACATATAAAGGCAATAAGACGAAATTATGTTATATCATGGCGAAGCATAAACAGACAAACCTGGAAGTAAAAATAATCAGAATTGAATGGACTCTTTATCTGAGAAAAAAAAGTGTCGACAGAAGAACATCTCCTGCCTTACATGAATAACACTTCATACGGTTCCAAAAGTAATTTCTTATTAAACGTGTTACAGCCTGATATAACTTGTTATAATGGCAGATAGATCACAGCGGACATTTGGAAAAAAATACATATGGTAACCGACTACAAGAAACCACAACAAAGATACAGCTGCTAAGTTACTAGTAACACAGTTTTACCTTATAAAAAGGTACGAACGCTTCGCAGTACCACACACTCCGTCAACGTGAAGCAATAATTGTTGATAGGGTCTTGAATATCAATACTGAAATTTGATATATTCTCCTGTGAGGGACATGTTCCAAATTCTATATCTCATTCCAGCCAATCGAATTTAAGCCATATCATACGGCAACTAATTAGAACCGATATTTTTTTTTAAAAGTAATAATTTCAAGATATCGTGAATATCGAATGAAACTAATAGCTTCGTACCGTGATGCGAAGAAAAAACAGGAAACTAACATAGTTATTTAAATCAAAGTCACAAATACAGGAATCTTCAATACCAAGACAAATTAAAGACACGAGTAACAGCAATAGGACGAGTTAAAGAAAACTACAACAATTAGATAAATCAATGTTCACAAAGACAGAACTTTACAACCTTGAGACAAATCAAATTTCACAAAGACAAAAGTCTAAAATACTGAAACAAATAAAAAACAAATAACAGACAACAGTGAGACAAACCCAAGTTCACAAAGGCAGGAGTCTACAACACTGAGACAAATCCATTTTCACAAAGAAATGTGTCTACAACACAGAGACAAAACAAAGTTAAAATTGACAGGAGTCTACAATACTGAGACACATAAAGGATCACCAACAAATTAGAATTCACAAATACAGGAATCTACAACTCCAAAAAAAAAAATCAAAGACACGAGTCTACAACACTAGAACGAATTAAAGAAAACTACAACAATAAGATAATTTTAAGTTCACGTAGACAGAAGTTAACAACCTTGAGACCAATCATATTTCACAAAGACAGGAAACTACAACAGTGAAACAAATCAAACATCACAGACAACTGTGAGACAACCAAAGTTCTAAATGACAGAAGTCTGCAACACTTAGGGATAAATTAAAGTTCACTAGCACAGGATTTTATAACATAGACAAATATAAATCAACATGATAGGAAACTACACCACTCGGAAGAATCAAAGTTCATACACACACTGGTCTACACCAATGAAACAAATCAAAGCTCATGCAGACGGGAGTGAAAACAACACTGAGACAAATCAAATTCACAAAGATAAGCATGTAAAACACTGAAACAAATCAGTCAACAAAGATAGGAAACTACAACAGTGAGACAAACCAACGTTCACAGACGTGAGAACATCGAGATAAATCAAAGTTCACAAAGACAGGACTGTACAATACTGAGGAAAAAAACAGTCCACAAAGACACGAGTCTACAACTTTGAGAAAAATCTAACTTTACAAAGACAGGAAACTTCAAAACCGAGATGAATCAAAGTTTAGTCTGCATTGCAAACTTGACAGCAGTTCATCAAACTGTCTTATTTCGTAGATTCTAACGCTCTTGGGCATTTATAACTATATTTTCGTGAAAATTCGATAATCCATGATTAAAAAAAAGAACACAAAACCCGACAATAAACCTCTTGTAGGAAATACCGGATAATACTTTCCAGCTGATTAATTGTCGACTACAAAAAGTGACTTTTTTCTATGTACTGCACCTAAAGATATACTCTCAGCATACGTTGACCTTCCATCAAGATTGACATATTTTCATTATTCTTGGCTTATCTCACCATCTATCAAGACAACTTGAATATATATATATGCCAAATCCTTTAGAGAGGAAAGAGTTGTTCCTTCATTTAATTTGAATCATAAGTATTGTGTGCATTTTTCGATTCAAAGCAACTGATTGTCGCCTAACTTATGATATCTGTCATAAACAAAATCCATGCACAAATCATGTTTATGGTGTAAACTGTTTTTTTGAATAACCTTCATTGGACTTGGACATCAGGTAATTTTGAAACCAAAAGTGTGGACAGCCAATAATTAGAAACGGTTGAGAGTATAACAAGAGAGCAAACGCTGCAATATCCAGCTTGTTTTTCTTTTATCATGATTGAATTGGAAACAAGACAATTCGTACCACTGTCCTCAGTCTTCACTTTAAGGTGAGTTTTTAAGATAAGGGTTTTACTACAGGTACCATAAAAATCAATGATCCATAAAATGAGGTCATCAGATGAAACCGGCAAAACCGACTTGTACAACTTACAATCATTTCATACTCTAAAGATAGTTGATATATTGGGTATAGTAAACGAGACACGTTGACCTGTTGGCCAACGAATCATTAAAATGATTTCAAGGTCAGATGAACCCTGGCAGACGAACATGTACTTCTTACAATCATTCCACACAAACATAATTGACCTATAGCTTACAGAATGGGATAAATGTAGTTTACCACAGCTTAGCGTTGACAAATGCACCGTGAAACTGAGGTCAAGGTCATGTGTACCTTGTCAGACCGACAAGAACACCTTACAATCTTTCCATATACCAAATATATTTTACTTATTGCTTATAGTATCTGAGCTACGAAGTTTCCCACAAAACTTACCCTTCATCACCAATCCATGAAATGACGTCCAGGTCAGCTGAACCTTGATTGATAGACATGAAGATCTTTCAATGTCTCTATTTACCAATTATAGTTGAACTATCACTCATAATAAGTGAGAAAATCACGATATGAAATATTTTGCTGTATACAAATTAGTTTAAGCCACCTGGATTAGCATTCCTGTCTTGTAGTAGGACAATAACAAAAGGGCCATAAAAGAACATAAAATACCGTCAAAAGGTCAACTTTGACTTTGGAGTTAAATCCTTAGTACAATTACATACATGTATTTACAATATTAAGTCAAGATCTGAAAAAATATCTACTTTTTTAATGCGGCTTCGTTTTGTGCCAAATACAAAATAGTGGATATTTTTCTGACATTGATATTACATTGTTTTTACACTGCAGCTGAAAATGTCTACAAATACAGTAATAAGTATGTGACACAAAAATAAAATCTTCCATCCCTAAATGAGCACCTGATTGTGAAGAAAAAATTGTTATGCAACATGAAATCAACATAGCATGAAATTTCACTTTGTTACAATATTTGGTAAATAAGGACAATAGGAAGTGTGCTAGATGCATTATAAAATTCATTTTCTGGAAATTTACAGATAACTGTATCATTTAAATCATGCTAGTATCAAAGCACTACATGAGGCTACACAGATGATTGTTAGATTGGAGGCTAATAATCCACCAGATGCTGATACAGGATTTTGAAAAAGGGAGGGGCTAACAAGACAACATTAGGAGTGGGATTTGTAAAAAGCCTACGCAGAAATCATATATGTAGCTGCATAACGGGGCCAGGCCCCTAAATACACCTCTGTCAAACAGCAGTGGCACTAACCTGGATGTGGTAAAAAATGATATGGTTAACAATTCCAGTGCCCACAACATGTTTCTTAAAATTCATTTGGTACGCTTGAAACCAAAAGTTTGGAAAATTAAAAATATAAAACATAACATGAAATGTAAGACAAACTAATGTGTCAATTTTCATCTCATTTTATTTCAATATCAGAACTGAAAATCATAGTAAGTAGCAACGACATAGTATTCTTCTTAAATATACGATGATGTAAATAAAACCAACATGACTAAGTTTGTACTACATTTTAATTAACTGTGTTGGGATTGTTGCAACTGTTGCAATGCATTATATTGGTAACAATAATTCAGTTTGTCCACTTCTTTGCACCAATCATAACCGAGATAATCACAATTTATTCTGCAATCAGTAATTTTACAAATAAACATTCATACTGTGTACACATTGCCAGTTTACAAATTCTATAATGAACAAATAGATATATTCAAACAAGTGTTTCCATTGTAGTTCATTTTGATGACCTCTTCAATGCCTGTGTCAAAGTAATGTATGTTATCTTTAAAAACAAAAAAGAAAGGCACCAACCAAAATAACAAAATAAATTAATTAATTCACCAATATCAAGTTGCAAAAAAATATAACATACTAACAATGTTGTTTAATATCGGATTAATTTGTACCCACTATGAAACAAAGAGAAACCCTTGGTTACCTTAATTTTTCTTTCAATTTCGAAAGCTCTAACAAAAAGACTTTATATTTTCGACAATATAAATCTATTCTACTATAAATGCTCTACATTTCACATTCAGTATAGCTTATGTCAGCTTCATGTAGAAAAAAGATATGATTTATTGTGAAAATTTTTGTTTTTGTTGTAAATATTTTTATACAGCAAATGACATCCAAGTTCACATCACTTAACATTCATTATCAATGATCCATATAAATGAGATGAATTTTTAAAAGATGAACCCTGCCAGAAGGCAAGTACAACTTGGGCTTATTGAAAATGCATGTCTGCGATCAGATACAGATATAACCATGTAAACTTGGTCAATGGACCATGAAAAAAGGTCAAGTTAGATGAATCCCGCCATATAGACCATACAATTATTCCATACCCAAATGTAGTTGACCTTTTAGTATCTGAGATACCATGAAAACTTAACCTTGATCACTGATCAAAGAAAAGAGTCTGATGGATTTGTAGACCTTGCAAGGATCCCATATTCCAAACATAGTTATCCTATTACTCATTATAAGCAAGAACTAAATTTTTTTTAAAGTAGTCAATGAACTATAAAAATAGGGTCAGACAATGGACATTTGACAGACAGAAACTTAAAAACAGAAGGCATATGTATACAAAGTATGAAGTATCGAAGTCTTCTACCTTCTAAGGGAAAAAGCTTAATACAAATAGTTAATGCCATCAACACCTTTGAATTAGCATCCCCATGTCTTTACAGGCAAAAACAAAAACAACAGAAAAAAACCCACTGTTTGACCAGGCGAATTAATGATTTACTCTGACTAGTATAATTGATATGTGTTATAGATAAACCTTCAGTATCCTAGCTTGCCTTTCTTACCACAAGAAAGATATTAGCAAACTTTTGATTTTAACTGGCCAATTAGCAAACAGATTTTTATAGTTTGTTTTTATAAGGTATTATTTTCCTTTGGTAAACAGATGTTATTTGTAAAAGAGATTGTTTTAGCAAGGTGAGTAGAATAAATTTAATAAACTGATATTTTAACTTTATCATAGACCTTACACAGATTAATAACAATTCATTCCTTCACAATTGAAATACATCCTTTATGTATAATGAATTTTCCCAATGAAAGACCTTATACCCAATTTTTAAGTGTTTTTTGAAATAACAAGTATGCACATACTGAAATTTCAGACCTGAATGAATTTTATGTTGAAAGTCAAACAGGTGTAAAAAAAAAAACATTTATATCAATGATCCATTAAAGTGAAATCAAGGTTAGATGAACCCTTTCATAGGAACATGTACAGTAACACTCTACAATTATTCTAATCAACAATATATTTGACCTAAAACTTAGAGAATCTGATGTTATCAGGAAACTTAACATTGGTCAGTGAACCATTAAAATGAGGTCATTGTCAAGTGGAACCTGTCAGACGGACATAAACTCCTGACAATCATTACATATACCATATATATAATTGGCATATTTCGTGTCGTAACTGAGAAACTTATTATCTATAAATGAAAAAATGGGGAATGTGACCATAGGACACAGATGATGCCCCTGCTGCATATAACGTTATAAAGGGACATAACTCAAGAATAGTAAAAGTGACGGTACCCCAATTCGTACTTGATCTGAGTTTTGTGGTAATAAGCATTGTGTATAAGTTTCATAACATTTGGTTGAGGCAAACTTAAGTTAGAGAACGGAAAAGAAAAATTCAGCAATTTTTCCATTTGTAAAGGGGCATAACTCTAGAAAGGTACTAATGACTCGACCCTAATTCAAACTTGATCTGTGTTTTGTGGTAATCAGCATTGTGTATAAGTTTCATAACATTTGGTTGAGGCAAACTAAAGTAAGAGAACGGAAACCAATTTCGGGACGTACAGACATAGACGGACAAGGGTAAAACTTAATGCTCCCTCCGCTACGGTGGGGGCATAAAAAAGGTTGATAAAGGAATAATGAAATCAATGTCAGATGAGTTTTATCAGGTAGACAAGTGCAGAAAAAAAAATCTGTGTTTCACATTTGAATACATGCTAAAAACTTGCATTTTACATAGCATCACACACATTTTCATCATACAAAAATTAATATATATCTTAAAATATATATCTTTAAGTTAATATCTTATGTGTGTTGCTGTATGACATACATATATCTATACACTCAATGACACTGTTTACCTATACATAGAATGTAAAACTAGATGATTAAATATAGGTCACACTGATTTAGTTATCTTACCATTTAAAGATACAAATAGTCTAAAAGGTAAACTAAAGGCTCTAAAGAGCCTGTGTCGCTCACCTTGGTCTATGTGCATATTAAACAAAAGACACAGATGGATTCATGACAAAATTGTGTTTTGGTGATGGTGATGTGTTTGTAGATCTTACTTTACTAAACATTCTTGCTGCTTACAATTATCTCTATCTATAATGAACTTGGCCCAGTAGTTACAGTGGAAAATATTTTGTAAAAATTTACAAAAATTGTAAAAAATTGACTACAAAGGGCAATAACTCCTTAAGGGGTCAATTGACAATTTTGGTCATGTTGACTTATTTGTAGATCTTACTTTGCTGTACATTATTGCTGTTTACAGTTTATCTCTATCTATAATAATATTCAAGATAATAACCAAAAGCTGCAAAATTTTCTTAAAATTACCAATTCAGGGGCAGCAACCCAACAACGTGTTGCCTGATTGGTCTGAAAATTTCAGGGCGGATAGATCTTGACCTATTGAACAATTTTATCCTGTCAGATTTGCTCTAAATGCTTTGGTTTCAGAGATATGAGCCAAAAACTGCATTTTACTCTATGTACTATTTTTTAGCCATGTCAGCCATCTTGGTTCGCCGGCAGGGTCATCGGACACATTTTTTAAACTAGATACCCTAATGATGATTGTGGACAAGTTTGGTTAAATTTGTCTTAGTAGTTTCAGAGAAGATTTTTGTAAAAGATTACAAAAATTTACGAAAAATGGTTAAAAATTGGCTATAAAGGGCAATAACTCTTTAAGGGGTCAACTGACCATTTTGGTCAAGTTGACTTATTTGTAGATCTTACTTTGCTGAACATTATTGCTGTTTACAGTTTATCTCTATCTATAATAATATTGAAGATAATAACCAATAAACTGCTTCGCTGAGCGCAGCTGGATACGCCCGCAGAGGTCCAACCCTGAACAGTTGGGGCAAAAATGGACACAATATTCAAGCTTGATACAGATCTGAATTTGGATTGTAATTAAATATTTGACATATTATAGGTTTCTGAATAAACGTAGTCAAAGAACTTGAAATTGGTTATATGAATTGAATTTATATTCAATTAAAGATTTCTTGCTGTTGTGCGATACACTATGCTGTTGCGCAATACGTAGTAAATCTGTTGTCAGACTATAAACAAATAAAATTTATAAAATTCTAAAGGGAGCTTACATCAATAGATATAATCAATTCACCAAAGTTTCAAAAGAATTGCTGAAAGCAATTTTGAGTTATTGTCTGAAAACTGGAAAATCCCCCTTTTTTAATGAATAAAACCCCATAACTCGGAAATGTAAAATCTAAAATTTATAAAATTCTAAACGGAGCTTACATCAATAGATATAAACAATTCATCAAAGTTTCATAAGAACTGCTGAAAGCACTTTTGATTTTTTGTCAGAAAACTGGAAAATCCCCCTTTTTTTATGAATAAAACCCTGTAACTCGGAAACGTAAAATCTAAAATACATAAAAATTGAAAGGGAGCTCATGTCAATAGATATAAACAATTCACCACAATTTCTTGCAAGTTGGTGAAAGCATTCTTGAGTTATTGTCCGAAAACTGGAAAATCCCTTTTTTTAATGAATAAAACCCCACAACTCGGAAACGTAAAATCTGAAATTTATAAAAAACGAAAGGGAGCTCACGTCAATAGATATAAACAATTCACCAAAGTTTTATGCAAATTGGTTAAAGCGTTTTTGAGTTAATGTCCGACATGTTGACGACGGACGGACAGATGGACACCGGTATACCATAATACGTCCCGTAAACGGGCGTATAAAAACGGCAAAATTTCCTTAAAATTACCAATTCAGGGGCAGCAACCCAACAACAGGTTGTCAGATTCATCTGAAAATTTCAGGGCAGATAGATCTTGACCTGATAAACAATTTTATCCATGTCAGATTTGCTCTAAATGCTTTGGTTTCAGAGATATAAGCCAAAATCTACATTTTACCCCTATGTTCTATTTTTAGCCATGGCGGCCATCTTGGTTGGTTGGCCGGGTCACCGGACACATTTTTTTGGCCAAGTAGTTTCAGAGGAGATTTTTGTAAAAGTTAACGACGACGGACGACAGACGCCACCTGATGAGAAAAGCTCACTTGGCCCTTTGGGCCAGGTGAGCTAAAAATGTATGAATCTTTAACATATCTCTAACAGAATATGCTAATGTACAATAATTTAGGGGAATGTTTCTATTGTTTTAAATGACAAACTTGTACACAGTTTTGTTTGTAGGTCCCACCTGTACTTTCAAAATTTATGGATTTTATAGATGAAACGAATCTGTATTCATATTAAATTCTCAAAAATATCACCAACAAAATTATATGCATCCTCTGAACATGCTGAATAAGGTCATGAGATCAATGGTATAAAATTGAGGACTGGCAGTTAACATGATAATCAACTTACATCATTCTATTTGTTATCATCAATGGTTTTTATAGGAATATTAGAGAATATTTAGAATGATAGACATCATAATTTTAAACAAATCAGTTGCATATACAGTTTTCTCTATAATTTAATTCTTTTCAGCATTCACCTGTCTAGTGAATGTCGTCAGCTGTTACCTATTTTTTTGATGTTTTAAACTACCAACATAATCATGATGAAAATATATATGTGTTCGGTATTCTGAAATCAGCAGAAATTACTGAATAAGCTTTTAAGTCGTCAATCAAGTACCCAACATATCTCAATATTTACTATACACACAAATACTCAGTCACAAGAAAGCCTTATAAAAACAAAATTAATAATCCTTAAAATAACAGGGGAACAAAATTCTGATTCTTCAGATGTTTTGGGAGACCATGTAGCAATAAGATGATTCACCAACTCCCTTTTGGTCTTTAATAGTATATAGATGCTTGATCCACTTCTGGAATTTCACATTGGCATAATTACTGTTTAAATTGGTCTCAGTTTGTCTGCAATCAATTATGTTTTCAGACACTTTTTATATATATGTCAGGTAATCAACTTGATCAGTACCTTAACCAATTATGTCACAGATAATGTAAACATAATTTGACTGCTCTAAATCCACTTTATTCTGTTCTCAGACTATGTATACATCAGGAATGTTCTAAATCTCAGTACAGCAATATTTTATGTTTCAATCAACAAATAAAACTATTGCTACCAGGTTGTATTATAAATTATGTATTACAAAAAAAGGGGTTGTATGCCTTTTAAAATAGATTTCTAAATCAGACTATTGACAATTAATTAATAATAATTCTGCAAATTGTTTTCATTGTATTACCATCAATCACAGAATGTTTGACATTTTTCAACAATATATATATACATGTATATACTAAATATATGTCAGTTTCAGTTTAATGTTGAAGGTCATTTAAAAGTGAAGCTTACTGTTCTCACATATTTGCCTGAAAGTTGTGTGACTGTCCCAATTAATGTTTATTCAAAGGCACATGTACATGTACTTAATATGACAGAAGAATGTCCAAAGAATTGTATTGACATTGTAAAATAATGTGTAATGTGTATATTTACATAAGAAAAGGTCATTTCAATACCTTCCAAATATTATACATCAATGACACTTATCTACACTGTATTATTATGCATTGAATCAAATGAGTAACAGTTTTAATGATCATATGCGGATTAATAAAGAAAATATGTGCAAGTCTGGCAATACAAAGAATGTTGACATTCACAAGACAAAGGACAGAACAAGATCATCTAGGGACAACCTAGCTGTATTTGAATGCATCTCTGAAGAATGACACATTTTTATGTTGACTTTAACATATTGACAACCATAATAACAACAATGAAACTTTATGTATTTAGTGTGTCCGTAGCCCTATTCTGAGGTTGCCTTCACCTAAAATGCTCAAACTCAAACCTTTGAATGCAAAGTGTGTATGGCTTGAATATGCAAGGAGCTTTTGACCAGAAGGGACAAAAAAGGAATAGCAAAATACATCTTAAGAAAACTTTGCCTGAGGAGTTAGAACCGTTAATAATTTCTTAATTTACTAACCCCAATTAAAGAAAGGTATGTTGTAAATGATGTCAGTACCAAAACACTGACTTTATACATACACACTTTCATTTTTTCAGACTATAAGAAATGATTTCTAAAAGAACTTTATAATATACCAGTCTGAATCCATTTTACACCAGAACCTTTTAATCTATATCAATCATCCTTATAATGAACCAAGACCAGCCCATTAACTAGGGCTTTATGTCAGTTACATAAACAAACGTCTAATCTGATACCGTAGACTTAGTACACAAGTGATTATTGCCCAGGTAACAAAGACCAAATTTGATAGACAAGAGCTCTGCCAGGGCTGTAAACAAAGGTCTAATTTGGTTAACTATCATTTGTTTAGCTATATTAACCAAGTTTTAATTCAACAGACATGGTCTTTAGAAAAAGGTTAAATTTGGAAGACTAAAATATTGATATTTATATAAATATAAATGAAAGTCCAATTTGATAGGCTTGGGCTATATATAAAGGCCTTATTTGACAGATGGGTTTCACTTGAGCACTATGCAAAGGTCTAGTTTACTAGTCTTGAGCTGTAAACATTGGTCTAATTTGATTGATGTGTATTTACCAAGGTCTTATTAACAGACTTTAGTTAAATACCATGGCCTATTTTGATAGAAATGGTCTTTACTTGGGTAAATTTCACACACTGTTCATTAATTTTATGGCAATATATAATACAAACAAAATATACAATTATGATCATTGATGATTTTCTGTTACAAGATCCTCTGTATTACAGTTACTTCCCCCTGACGTGGAAGAATTGTCACTATTATCCACATGATTTGTTTCTACGGAAGTCCTTTTCTTCACTTTTTTTGGAACATAGTCTGTAATTATTACTGTAACATTATTTACTGTAACAGAGATTTTCTCTTCAGATCTTTCTTGTTTATCCGTTTTCTTCACCTTTGGTATTCTGTAAAGACAAAAATATTAAAACAGTCACTAAAATAGAATTTATAGACTACCTTTTATCCCATGCTTCAAAATCTTATTAACTGTGCAGTACTGACTTCAATTTTACTATTACAAACATAACAAGGGGTTGTCAAAATCAGCAAACCAGATTTTTATTACATATGTGAATGTACATTTACTAGTTGTTTAGTATTGACGGGCCAAAACTCAAGAACAGCAAAAGGGAAAACTGTCAATATTGATCTGGACCTCAATTTTGCCATCAGTAACAACATATTGAAATTAGAAAAGCATTCATTGAACACTTCTCAATTTATTGCACATAAATGACATTAAATCCATTTTCCAATCAATCAAGAACCATATCTCCTATCGGTAAGAATGAAAATATCAATATCTGAAATAAATTCATGGATAACAATAGTACTTTTATTCCTGGGGTACCAATGTTAGTGATTTTCATGTATGGCTTTATCCATGAATTTAAGTGTCCAACGAAATATAACAATTGTCAAAATCAAGACATGAACAGATTTGACTACATGGATTCTGATATAATCTAGAGAATACATCTAATATCAGCAAACACACTATGAACTATATACTAGTATACAATTTCAGGCAGGATGTTACCCATTTAATCTTTAAAACCATAAACTGTTCGACATTTAACCATTAAATTCATAGGAAAAATTAGTTTTGATTGATGAAGACTTCTTGTGATGATATGGGATGATGAAGTGGTCATTTTATCCCCTCATAATTCTAATACAAAAAAAGAAAAAAAAACTCATTTAGGGCTTGCTTTTTAATTTCATAGGAATCAATTATACAACTAAAAGTACATTTGTAACATTTTTTTTTGTAACCATTTTCTTTAAGTGGGATGTTTATGCCCAATTAAGACCTTTGATGATTGTTAATTTGTTGATCATTCGATCTTGGTTCAGATTACACCTGTGCAATAAATAAAATGTTTACTTTGCAATTTCCATTAATCGAGATAATTTATGAGCATACAAGAGTCAGCTTATTTTCGAAAACAATCATTCATTTTAATAAAAATTTGATGAATGTTGTCTGAAAGAGGAACAAGTAAGTGAAAATGAACACTTTATTTTTTAGGCCCAAGAACAAAGTTATTTCGTAGTGCATTTCTTTGAGACAATAAATTCAAATTAAAATAAATGGGGAATGTGTCCATGGGACACAGATGATGCCACTGCTTGCATATAACGTTATAAAGGGATTTAACTAAAGAACTGTAAAAGTGACGCTACCCAAATTTCTATTTGGTTTAGGCAAACTTAAGTTTGAGAACAGAAACAAATATTTCAGGAATTTTTCCATTTGTAAAGGGGCATAACTCTAGAACGGTAAAAGTGACGACACCAAAATTAAAACTTCATCTGTGTTTTGTGGTAATAAGCATTAACATTTGGTTGAGGCAAACTAAAATTAAAGAACGGAAACCAATTTTCGGACGTACGTACGTAGACGGACAAGGGTAAAACTTAATGCCCCTCTGCTACGGCGTGGGCATAAAAATCACTTTCTCTATCTCAAAAGATTTTTACAGTGTATAATACTACTTTTGGGACATATTATATCAAAATAAATAGGGAATTTGTCCATGGGACACAGATGATTCCCAAGCTTGCATATCATATAAAGTTATAAAGGGACATAACTGTAGAACAGTAAAAGTGACGCTACCCAAACTTAAGTTAGAGAACGGAAACGAAAAATTTAGCATTCTTTTTATTTGCAAAGGGGCATAACTCTAGAACGGTTAAAGTGACGCTACCAGAGTTCAAACTTGATCTGTGTTTCGTAGTAATTAACATTGTGTATAAGTTTCATAACAATTGGTTGATGAAAACTAAAGTTAGAGAACGGAAACGAAAAATTCAGCATTTGTAAAGGGGCATAACTGTAGAACAGTTAAAGTGAAGCCACCAAAATTAAAACTTGATCTGTGTTTTGTGGTAATAAGCATTTTGTATAAGTTTCATAACATTTGGTTGAGGCAAACTAAATTTAGAGAACGGAAACCAACTTTGGGACGTACGGACGGACAAGGGTAAAACTTAATGCCCCCTCCTCTACGGCGGGGGCATAATTATAGAAAAGTCTACAAACTCTAACTCAAAATACGGACAATTCTATGTTAAGGGGTCTATAATTCAGTTTGACAGCTTCAGACATACTAATTTTTTACCTTTTTTAACTGGACCAAACTACTACTTTACCTATAAATTCATCACCCACATTTGTTTTAACATGCAATTTCATCCCCCTGCTTGATATTTCATGCATAAAACATAAAGTAATAAATCTGGACAGTGTATGAAATTTTTTTTCAAGTTATACACTGTCCACACTAGGGACTATATTTGTAGACAACGAAAATCAAAGGACTATAACTGTGTCCTCAAATCATTATAAAAACTATATACTTTCAAAACAACACATGATTATTTTCAAGAACCTTCAATTCTGACGGCTTCAAATTCTTCACTCCATTTTTCTTTCTTCAGAAAACTAAAATCCATAAATTTAAGAACCCACGAACATGCAACTTTTAGTCAAACCACAAAAATTGATTCCCAAGAATAAAAGTACTTTCACAGAATCAAAATTTGAAATAGATTTTTCAAACAATTCACAAGTTATAGTGCAGAAACAACATTTAGTGCCATTTTCCAATCAATGACGGACCAGTACTCCTAACAGAAGAAAGTAAAACTTGCTAATATCTAACTTGACCTCAATTTCGTCATCAGTACCAACATATTAAGTTTGAAAAGAGTAAAAAAAAAAAAAAAACAGTTCATAAATTATTGCACAGAAGCAACTGGAGTTGCCCTTCTGTCGTACAACCCTAAATCAATATCTAGATTTCCATTAGAAAGCCCAGTAAAAAATTTGTAGAGGGTTTCACAGAAGCCTATGTCTTGCCTTAAATTCCATCAGTCAGTGTAAAAGTATAATGTTGATCCCCCAAAACTAAGTCCATTCATCAGTGAAATACTGGAAAAATAGAAATTAAAATCGAACTTTTGTCGTCAGATGCTATTTCTTGATCATGAAGCTTACTTCCATGTTTCAAAACATTCCATAAAGATTCAACAAATTTATTGATGTTTAAAATATGTAATCTGAGACTGTATGTAAATGTTTCCACTTATTAGTAAAATAAGGAGAAATGAAAAATACATTTTCAAAACTTAGATTCACACATTACCTCTTAATCAGTTAAAAAAGAGTCTTAATAAAAAATAAAAAACGGAGTTCCAATTTCCCCCGAGTTGCACATATTTTATATTTCCAAGAGGCATAAATCTTTTAAAATAAATGTGGATAGTGTCCACATGTGGACACAGATGATGCCCCCCACTTGCATATCATATAGTTATAAAGGGACATAACTGAAGAACGGTAAAAGTGAACGGTAAAAGTGACGCTACCCAAATTTGAACTTGATCTGAGTTTTGTGGTAATAAGCATTGTGTGTAAGTCTCATAACATTTGGTTGAGGCTAACTTAAGTAGAGAACAGAAACTAAAAATTCAGTAATTTTTCTATTTGTAAACACGCATAATTCAGCAATTTTTATGTTTATAAAGGGACATAACTCAAGAATGGTAAAAGTGTCGCCACATTTGGTTGAGGCAAACTAAAGTTAGAAAGCGGAACAAAAAAATTTGTACTTGATCTTAGTTTTGTTGTAATGAATATTGTGTATAGGTTTCATAATGTTTGGTTGCGGAAAACTTAAGTTACAGAATGGAAACTAAATATTTTGCAATCTTTCGATTTATAAAGGGGCATAACTCAATAATGGTTAAAGTGACACTACCCAAATTCAACTTGATCTGTGTTTTATCAGTGGAAGTCAAAATTAAACAATTGCATTGTATAAAGCATTGATTGTAGTTGATTCAACTATAATCATGGACAAAGGAAGATAACTCCAATTTAAAAATTACTTGATATTTAGAAGAAAATAAAAATTTTGCCATTTTTCCATTTATAAAGGGGCATAACTCTAACGGTTAAAGTGACGCCACAAAAATTCAAACTTGATCTGTGTTTTGTGGTAATAAGCATTGTGTATAAGTTTCATAACATTTGGTAGAGACAAACTTAAGTGAGAGAACAGAAACTAAACATTTTGCAATTTTTCCATTTATAAAGAGGCATAACTCTAGAACGGTTAAAGTGACACCACCAAAATTCAAATTTGATCTGTGTTTTGTGGTAATAAGCATTGTGTTTGGTTGAGGCAAACTTAAGTTAGAGAACGGAAACTAAACATTTTGCAATTTTTCCATTTATAAAGGGGCATAACTCTAGAACGGTTAAAGTGACGCCACCAAAATTCAAACTTGATTTGTGTTTTGTGGTTAAGCATTGTGTATAAGTTTCATAACATTTGAATGAGGCAAACTCAAGTTAGAGCATGGAAACCAATTTTGGGACGTACGTTCGTAAGTAAGTACAGACGGACAAGGGTAAAACTTAATGCCCCCTCTGCTACGGCGGGAGCATATTCCATTTATAAAGGGGCATAACTCTAGAATGGTTAAAGTGACGCCACCAAAATTCAAACTTGATCTGTGGTTTGTGGTAATAAGCATTGTGTATAAGTTTCATAACATTTGGTTTAGGCAAACTCAGGTTAGAGAATGGAAACCAATTTTGGGACGTACGTACGTACAGACGGACAAGGGTAAAACTTAATGCCCCCTCCGCTTTGGCAGGGGCATAAAAAGTGGATCATCCACCATTAAAGAACTTGTCTGAGATATTGCTGATATTAATCTTAAGAATAAGTTTTATAAAAATCTGGCAAAAATTGTACCTGTGAGAGCACGTATGAGGCCATTTTCCATAAATTTAATATTTCCAGGGGGCATAACTCTTTTAAATAAAATGCTCCGCTGGGGCGCAGCTTGATACGACCGCAGAGGTCGAACCCTGAACAGTTGGGGCAAGTATGGACACAACTTTCAAGCTTGATACAGCACTGAATTTGGATTATAATTAAATATTTGACACAGCATAGGTTTCTGACACAGAATGAATGTGGTCCAAGAACTTAAAATTTTTAAATTTACCTATTCAAACCATATCATTATTATTTCCTTTTATATATAAATCAGATATAACCAATTTAAAATGGAAAATTTAAAAGAAAAAAAAAGGGAAAAAAAATCCCCCCCCAAATTTTTTGAACCCCCTTATGATTCATCACCCCCAAACTTAATCCCAGCCTTCCCTTTGTGGTATGGTACCTTGCAGTACAATTTCAGAGAGATCCATACACTTGAACACAAGTTATTGTCTGGAAACTAGAAAAATGCTTGTTTTTGGCCCCTTATTCCTAAACGTTTTGGGCAATTACCCCCAAACTCAATTCCAGCTTTCCCTTTGTGACATGGAACCTTGTAGTACAATTTTATAAAGATCCATACACTTACACACAAGTTATTGTCATGAAACTAGAAAAATGCTTGTTTTTTGCCCTTTTTTGGCCCCTAATTCCTAAAAAATGGAGGCAATTACCCCAAAAATCAATCCCAGCATTCCCTTTGTAATATGGAACCTTGTGGTACAATTTCAGAGAGATCCATACACTTACACACAAGTTATTTTCATGAAACTAGAATAAAATGCTTCGCTGGGCGCAGCTTGATACGACCGCAGAGGTCGAACCCTGAACAGTTGGGGCAAGTATGGACACAACATTCAAGTTTGATACAGCTCTGAATTTGGATTGTGATTAAATATTTGACACAGCATAGGTTTCTGACACAGTCAATGAATGTGGTCTAAGAACTTAAAATTTTTTAATTAACCTATTATGGTCAAATATCAAAAATCTAAATACATGGTTAGATTCAGCATATCAAAGAATCCAAAGAATTCAATTTTTGATGAAATCAAACAAAGTTTAATTTTGGACCCTTTTGACCTCAATGTGGACCAGTTTGATAACGGGGCCCAAAAATCAAAATACATGGTAAGTTTCAGCATATCAAAGAACCCAATATATTCAATTTTTGTTGAAATCAAACAAAGTTTAATTTTGGACCCCAACTTGGACCAACTTGAAAACTGGGCCCATAATCAATAAAATGCTTCGCTGGGGCGCAGCTTGATACGACCGCAGAGGTCGAACCCTGAACAGTTGGGGCAAGTATGGACACAACATTCAAGCTTGATACAGCTCTGAATTTGGATTGTTATTAAATATTTGACACAGCATAGGTTTCTGACACAGAAAGAATGTGGTCTAAGAACTTGAATTTTTTTAATTTACCTATTATGGTCCAATGTCCAAAATCAAAATACATGGTTAGATTCAGCATATCAAAGAACCCCATATATTCAATTTTTGTTAAAATCAAACAAAGTTTAATTTTGGACCCCAACTTGGACAAACTTGAAAACTGGGCCCATAATCAAAAATCTAAACACATGTTTAGATTCAGCATATCAAAGAACCCCAAGAATTCAATTTTTGCTAAAATCAAACTTAGTTTAATTTTGGACCCTTTGGACCTTAATGTAGACCAATTTAAAAAACGGGACTTAAAATTAAAAATCTAAATACATGGTTAGATTTGGAATATCAAAGAACCCCAATAATTCAATTTTTGATGAAATCAAACAAAGTTTAATTTTGGACCCTTTTGACCTCAATATGAACCAATTTGATAGCAGGGCCCACAAATAAAAAATCTAAATTCATGGTTAGATTCAGCATATCAAAGAACCCCATATATTCAATTTTTGTTGAAATCAAAAAAAGTTTAATTTTGGACCCCAACTTGGACCAACTTGAAAACTGGGCCCATAATCAAAAATCTAAACACATGTTTAGATTCAGCATATCAAAGAACCCCAAGAATTCAATTTTTTTTTAAATCAAACTAAGTTTAATTTTGGACCCTTTGGACCTCAATGAAGACCAATTTAAAAAACGGGACCCAAATTAAACATCTAAAAACACAGTTAGATTTGGCATATCAAAGAACCCCAATAATTCAATTTTTGATGAAATCAAACAAAGTTTAATTTTGGACCCTTTTGACCTCAATATGAACCAATTTGATAGCGGGGCCTACAAATAAAAAATCTAAATACATGGTTAGATTCAGCATATCAACAAACCTCATATATTCAATTTTTGTTGAAATCAAACAAAGTTTAATTTTGGACCCCAATTTGGACCAACTTGAAAACTGGGCCCATAATCAAAAATCTAAATGCATGTTTAGATTCAGCATATCAAAGAACCCCATATATTCAATTTTTGTTGAAATCAAACAAAGTTTAAATACTGGACCCTATCTTGGACCAACTTGAAAACTGGGCCCATAATCAAAAATCTGAACACATGTTTAGATTCAGCATATCAAATAACCACAAGAATTCAATTTTTGTTAAAATCAAACTAAGTTTAATTTTGGACCCTTTGGACCTTAATGTAAACCAATTTAAAAAACGAGACCCAAAATTAAAAATCTAAATACACGGTTAGATTTGGCATATCAAAGAACCCCAATAATTCAATTTTTGTTAAAATCAAACTAAGTTTAATTTTGGACCCTTGGACCTTAATGTAGACCAATTTGAAAACTGGACCCAAAATTAAAAATCTAAATACACGGTTAGATTTGGCATATCAAAGAACCCCAATAATTCAATTTTTGATGAAATAAAACAAAGTTTAATTTTGGACCCTTTTGACCTCAATATGAACCAATTTGATAGCGGAGCCCACAAATAGAAAATCTAAATACATGGTTAGATTCAGCATATCAAAGAAACCCATATATATAATTTTTGTTGAAATCAAACAAAGTTTAATTTTGGACCCCAATTTGGACCAACTTGAAAACTGGGCCCGAAATCAAAAATCTAAATACATGTTTAGATTCAGCATATCAAAGAACACCATATATTCAATTTTTGTTAAAATCAAACTAAGTTTAATTTTGGACCCTTTGGACCTTAATGTAGACCAATTTGAAAACTGGACCCAAAATTAATAAAATGCTTCGCTGGGGCGCAGCTTGATACGACCGCAGAGGTCAAACCCTGAACAGTTGGGGCAAGTATGGACACAACATTCAAGCTTGATACAGCTCTGAATTTGGATTGTTATTAAATATTTGACACAGCATAGGTTTCTGACACAGAAAGAATGTAGTCTAAGAACTTGAATTTTTTTAATTTACCTATTATGGTCCAATGTCCAAAATCAAAATACATGGTTAGATTCAGCATATCAAAGAACCCCATATATTCAATTTTTGTTAAAATCAAAAAAAGTTTAATTTTGGACCCAAACTTGGACAAACTTGAAAACTGGCCCCAAATCAAAAATCTAAACACATGTTTAGATTCAGCATATCAAAGAACCCCAAGAATTCAATTTTTGCTAAAATCAAACAAAGTTTAATTTTGGACCCTTTGGACCTTAATGTAGACCAATTTAAAAAACGGGACTTGAAATTAAAAATCTAAATACACGGTTAGATTTGGAATATCAAAGAACCCCAATAATTCAATTTTAGATGAAATCAAACAAAGATTAATTTTGGACCCTTTTGACCTCAATATGAACCAATTTGATAATGGGGTCCACAAATAAAAAATCTAAATACATGGTTAGATTCAGCATATCAAAGAACCCCATATATTCAATTTTTGTTGAAATCAAACAAAGTTTAATTTTGGACCCCAATTTGGACTAACTTGAAAACTGGGCCAAAAATCAAAAATCTAAATACATGTTTAGATTCAGCATATCAAAGAACCTAATATATTCAATTTTTGCTAAAATCAAACAAAGTTCAATTTTGGACCCTTTGGACCTTAATGTAGACCAATTTGAAAACTGGAACCAAAATTAAAAATCTAAATACACTGTTAGATTCGGCATAACAAATAAATAAATGTGATCAAAGATTTTACAAATCTAATGCGCCATACTGTGCAATTAAAGATTACTTCTTGAAATTTTTCAATATTTGAAATTTGAAAAAAAAATAATATTTGAAGAATAATTCTTTTTAATTTCTGAAATCTGAAATGAGAAAAAATTGACCCCCCACAATTTCTTTTTATCCCCCCCCCCCTTTTTTTCCCCCAAAAAATTCTTTCCCTCAAGATATGGTCATAATCTCAATTCAAATTTCCAATGGAGTTGGCAACCATAATTACCCATTTAAATTTACCATAGTGCTAACTTAATCTATTTTATAATAGAATTAAAAATATAGTGTCAAATCTTTCATATGGATTTTTTTGTAAAAAAAAAAGATGCAACATTTGCAGATATTTTTACTGGTCTTCCTTTATAAATATGCATTTCTTTAAACATAATTTAAAAGCAGTGTAAGGGAAGTAACCAAAACGTTGTATTTGGATTACCTCCCTTACACTGTTTTAAATTATCTTTATTGTTCATTAACCATTACTCTATACATAATTTAAAAGCAGTGTAAGGGAGATAATTTCAATGATGTATTTGATTTATCTCCCTTACACTGCTTTAAATTATGTTTTGTACTAAAGTATTTGTCCATTAACCCGGATAACCTTGTTTTTCCCCCTTATTCCTAAACGGTTTGAGCCATAACCCCCCAAAGCAAATCCTAACCATCCCTTTGTGGTATGGAAACTTGTAGTATAATTTCAGAGAGATCCATACACCGTTCCACAGTTATTGTCTGGAAACTAGAAAATGCTTATTTTTGGCCCCTTTTTGGCCCCTAATTCCTTAACTGTTGGTACCATAACCCCCAAAATCAATCCCAACCTTCCTTTTGAGGTATTTAACCTTATGGTCAAATTTCAAAAAGATCCATTCACTTAAACTAAAGTTAGAGTGCGAAAACCAATGTGTCTTCGGACGACGACGACGACAACGTCATACCAATATACGACCAAAAATTTTTTTTGCGGTCGTATAAAAATCTATATACAGTCAGATTTGGCATAACAAATAAATAAATGTGGTCAAAGATTTTACAAATCTAATGCGCCATACTGTGCAATTAAAGATTACTTCTTGAAATTTTTCAATATTTGAAATTTGAAAAAAAAAAAAATATTTGAAGAATAATTCTTTTTAGTTTCTGAAATCTGAAATGAGAAAAAATTGACCCCCCACAATTTCTTTTTACCCCCCCCCCCCCCCCCCCCCCCCCCCAAAAAAAAAATTCTTTCCCTCAAGATATGGTCATAATCTCAATTCAAATTTCCAATGGAATTTGCAACCATAGTTACCCATTTAAATTTACCATAGTGCTAACTTAATCTATTTTATAATAGAATTTAAAATATGGTGTCAAATCTTTCATATGGATTTTTTTGAAAAAAAAAAAAAAGATGCAACATTTGCAGATATTTTTACTGGTCTTCCTTTATAAATATGCATTTCTTTAAACATAATTTAAAAGCAGTGTAAGGGAAGTTATCAAAACGTTGTATGTGGATTACCTCCCTTACACTGTTTTCAATTGTCTTAATTGTTCAATAACCATTACTTTATAAATAATTTAAAAGCAGTGTAAGGGAGGTAATTCAAATGATGTATTTGATTTATCTCCCTTACACTGCTTTAAATTATGTTTTGTACTAAAGTATTTGTCCATATAAAAATGCTTGTTTTTTGCCCCTTTTTTGGCCCCTAATTCCTAAAATTTTGAGGCAATTACCCCCAAAATCAATCCCAGCATTCCCTTTGTGATATGGAACCTTGTGGTACAATGTCAGAGAGATCTATACACTAACACACAAGTTATGTCTGGAAGTTACAAAAATGCTTATTTTTGGCCCCTAATTCCTTAACCGTTGGTACCATAACCCCCAAAATCAATCCCAACCTTCCTGTTGTGGTATTGAACCTTATGGTAAAATTTCATAGAGATCCATTCACTTAAACTAAAGTTAGAGTGCGAAAACCAATGTGTCTTCGGACGACGTCGAAGTCGCCAACGTCATACCAATATACGATCGCAAATTTTTTTTGCGGTCGTATAAAAATGCTTGTTTTTTGCCCCTTTTTGGCCCCTAATTCCTAAAATTTGGAGGCAATTACCCCCAAAATCAATCCCAGCATTCCCTTTGTGATATGGAACCTTGTGGTACAATGTTAGAGAGCTCCATACACTAACCATCTTCGCTAGCCAAGGGTTACGATCCAGTCCCCTCCTCTCCACCCATGGCAGATTAAGCCAACATTTGTGATAACAATGTTGCGCCATCTATCAGCTCATAAAAGTCACGCCCATTTCGAATACATTATTCTTGACCAATGGTAGCACTTGAACTCTCTTCAGTGTGGAGGTGTAAAAACGGTAGCGTCTAGACTTTACAAACTTCATGAAGCAGGAACCAAAAATATACGTTGACATTCCAACATTTGCGCAAGAAACATATTTAAGAACTTCTATAAGTTGATTAAGAACATTTAAATTGTCACTAAATGTCGTCGTATATTTTGGGGGTGAAGACTTGTTGCACAATCAGCACGTGGCAATTATTAATCTAACATTTTCTACATTTACACGTGATCATGTTAAAGGTCCTTTTTGATTGGATGCAGCCAGTTACGACTGCGACCAATGGAAAGCATGACCTCTTGGATCCGAAATTCTCTCTTAATCTGCCAAGGGTGGAGAGGAGGGGACTGGATTGTAACCCTTGGCTAGCGAAGATGTACACCTTTAGTATAAGTTTTATAAAAATCTGGCAAGAACTGTACCCGTGAGAATGCTAACGAGGCCATTTTCCATAAATTTAATATTTCCAAGGGGCATAACTAATTAAAAAAAAGGCGATAGGTCACCATTAAAGAACTTGTCCGAGATATTGCTGATATTTATCTACATTGTAAGTTTTATAAAAATCTGGAAAGAATTGTACTTGTGAGAGCGCTAAAAAGACTGGACGGACACACGGACGCCCGGTATTTCCATGTCCCCCGCAACACTTTACACAGGGGACAAAAAGGCTTTTGCCAGAGTTTCATATAATTCTATGAATGTTCAATAAGTAAAACTGTGAGTTGCTGCTTACCAATGATACCCCTGCTTTAAGCTTTCAGTAAACAGAAAGTTGATGAACAATGAATCTGAATACATATCACAAGATAAAGAATGTTTACATGGAGCCTGAAAACAAATTTCAGTATTTCAGTTCCCTAGAAAAATGCTATGTAAATTTCATACATGGCCATTATGAATAAGAATGTATAAGTAAATGGTTAACAGGATGATGAACAATGAATCTGAAAACACATCACATGGAATAGCATGCTGACTTGAAGCCTTATAAAAAAAATCAGGAAGCTATGATCTGTAGTTCCTAAGAAAAATGTGACAGAATTTCATGGGATGGATGGACAGACAGAGGCAAAACAGTATACCCCTCCTTTAGAGCTTAAGATATACTCTTCCTGGTTTTTATTTTGGATGTTAGAATTTTTTTTAACATCTTTTTTCTCACTCTTAAGATACAATGTTCCGTGTTCATTCCATCACTACAAGATTTAAAACTATATTATATATCTTTCTACACAACACTGTAATAGCTTGTAGGTCTATTTAAGTCTAGAAATTGCCTTTGTCATTCCTTTATTTTATTAGTTTTCTTTTCAAAACAAGACCATAGAGTTTTTTCTCTTTCCATAAATGCAGTTTCTTTAATGGTGAAACACTACAATATCAATAACTTCTTAATGTCTATAAATTTAATTATAATATCATATTTTTTAGCATAAATCTTTACCTTCTTTTAATAAAGGAGATTATATCTAACTTATACAGAGATCTGACTCCCTGTTAGAACACCAAGAAGCAGGCCACCCAGGCAATTTCAATCTCTACTTTTAACCCAAGATCAAAAGATTCTGCTACTGCTGAATATGTATGGAAGTTTGCAGCTATAATGACAACTCTGTTAACGATTGTTGCTCATGTGTTTAAAATGTAATAAAATTTCAAAACATTAATGAAGTAGTATAAATCAAATAGAATGTTTGACATTTGTGATCATGATGCTTCATAACATAAATGATATTAATGTGTTCCGTCAAATCTAACAGGTGTCACTATCAAGACATTTTCCCCTTTCTATCAACATAGTTATAATCGTTTGCTTATATATATATATTATATCTAATTATAAGGAAAATATATTGATAAAATATGACTAAGTATCTATTTTTTTTCTTTATTTGGTTTATTTATTTCTTTTCACCTGCCTAGTTATTTAATTATAAGCAAAACATGATAAATCTCTAACCATTGATAAATGGGCATCAGCGTTTTTGTTATAAATTTTGTCTATCATACTGATTCATTCATTATTAAGGGAATTTGATGCATGCTTTCCTATGCAGTTTTATTCATAAACGTTTTCATTAATTCTATTTTTTTTGGTGTACATGGTGTACTGTCTCAATATGAATTTGTCAATTATAAACTATTACTAGTTTTCACAACTGAGCATTACTAAATGTTAAAATTAAAACTGTAAGGATTGATAGAAATGCAAGTGTATAAAAATAAGGGAGGTGGTATGATTGCCAATTACACTGACAACTATCCACCAAAGTTCAAATAAAGTGGATGTAAGCAATTATAGGCAACCCTACAGCCTTCAACAATGAGAAAAACCCATACCATATAGTCGGCTATAAAAGGCCCCGACATGAAAAATATGAAACAATTCAATTGAGAAAAGTAACATCCTAATTTATAACAAAACACAAAACAATTTACAAAAAAAAAACAAATATGACAGACATGAACCAACGACAACAACTGAACTACAGGCTCCTGACTTAGTACAGGCACATAACGATTGTGGCGGGGTTAAACATGTTTTTGGGCGCTCAACCCTCCCCTAACCTGGGACAGTGGTGTAACAGCACAATAAGAACTATAATAAATTGCTTCGCCAAGTGCAGCTGGATACGACCGCAGAGGTCAAACCCTGAACAGTTGGGGCAAAAATGGACACAATATTCGTGCTTGATACAGGTCTGAATTTGGATTGTAATTCAATATTTGACAATAATAGGTTTCTAACACAGAATAACTGTAGTCAAAGAACTTAGAATTGGTTATATGATTTGAATTTATATTCAATTTTTTGCTTTTGTGCAATACACTATGCAGTAACGAATTGACCCCCCCCCCCCCCCCCACTTCTTTTTCAAAAAAAAAAAAAAAAAAATTTTACCCCCCCCCCCCCTTTTTTTTCCAAAAAAAAATAATATTTGAAGAAATTTTCTTTTTGATCTCTGAAATCTTGAGGAGAAAAAATTGTCCCCCCAATGACCCCAATTTTTTTCAATCCCCCCCCCCATAACAATTTTTTTTTAACCTCCCCCCTTTTCCAAAGAAAAATTCTTTCCCTCAAGATATAGTCATAATCTCAATTCAAATTTCCAATGGAGTTTGCAACCATAATATCCCCTTTAAATACATCATAAAAGTCTTATAATAGAAAATGACATACATAATCATGGCTATAATTAATATACCTTAATCACCATTTTTAAAATTATTAAAATAGTAACTTCTAAAAATAAATTGACAGCTAATCACCTCAAGACAATACAACATTTCTTTATACATAATTTAAAAGCAGTGTAAGGGAGGTAATTCAAACACAACATTGTACTTAAGTAATTGTCCATTAACCAGGACACCCTTGTTTTTTCTCACTTTTTCGCCCCTAATTCCTAAACAGGTTAAGCCATAACACCCAGAGCCAATCCTAACCATCCCTTTGTGGTATGAAAACTTGTGGTATAATTTCAGAGAGATCCATACACCATTCCACAAGTTATTGTCTCGAAACTAGAAAAATGCTTATTTGGGCCCCTTTTTGGCCCCTAATTCCTAAACTGTTGGGATCATAACCCCCAAAAGCAATCCCAACCTTCCTTTTGTGGTTATAAACCTTGTGTTTAAATTTCATAGATTTCTATTTACTAATACTAAAGTTATTGTCCGGAAACTAAATGTCTTCGGATGACGACGACGTGATACCAATATACGACTGCAGTCGTATAAAAATCAGCTGAAAAAGGCTGAACTCATCCGATCGATACAAAGCAGAAAAACATCAAACAAAAACACAGACCGGACGTGGCAAGGTATTTTTCCATCCCTCATCCCTAACAACAGTCTATTTTTAGTCTATCTTTTTTAACAATTTAACACACTGAAGTAAACCATTTTTATAGGAACAGATACATAAATCAAACTATAATCTTACAGCCTGCTAAAATTATCATCATTATTTGTACCGTGTGAGCGTACATGTTTTTTATCTGTAATAAAAATAAGAAAGAATGAAGACACCAAGGGGCCAATCAAATATTTAATACTAAAATACTTTTCAGCTAAGGTTTGCAACATTTCCTACATGGGACCAATTTTCTTGAACAGGAATTCAGGAATTCAACAACCCATAAATAAAGAATACATGTCATGTTTGCTGGTAAGGATCTTTCATAATTTATCATTCACAAGTAATTTTTTTGAAACCCTATTTAGTCCA